GCCTACCTAGCCCTAAATGGGACTCAACCCGACAAGACTCAGGATTGCTGGCTCTGCTTAATGTCAAGCCCTCCCTACTATGAGGGCACTGCAGTGGTCGGGAACTACTCCAACCACACTTCCCCACCGCCTACGTGTACCGAGGGATCCTCACACCGATTGACCCTAACTGAAGTCTCAGGACGGGGTACATGTCTAGGGAAAATTCCTCCCTCTCATACCCTCCTCTGCAACTCTACCCAGACCTTGGGCCCAGGAGCATACTATTTGGCCGCTCCTAATGGCACTTACTGGGCGTGCAGCACAGGTCTGACTCCCTGTGTATCTACCGCCGTTATGAACATGTCCCGGGACTACTGTGTCCTAGTCCAGCTATGGCCGAGAATCACTTATCATACCTCAGAATATTTTGTCAGCCAGTTCGAAGAAAGATCCCAACTTCGAATTAGAAGGGAGCCGGTCACATTAACGCTGGCCCTCATATTGGGGGTTGGGGGAATAGCGGCCGGGATAGGCACTGGTGCTAAGGCTCTCTCAGAAACCACCCAGTACCACCAACTGCAGACAGCCATGCAGTCGGACATTAGAATCCTTGAGGAATCAGTAACGGCCCTTGAGAAGTCACTCAAGTCTCTGTCTGAAGTAGTCTTGCAGAATAGGAGAGGTCTGGACTTATTGTTCCTTAAGGAAGGGGGATTATGCGTAGCTCTAAAGGAAGAATGTTGCTTCTACACCGACCACACTGGAATCGTAAGAGACAACATGGCCAAGCTGAGGCAGAGATTAGATCGGAGGCAGAAATTCTTAGATGCCCAACAGGGTTGGTTTGAGGGCTGGTTCAATAGGTCACCCTGGTCTACTACCCTAATTTCTGCCATAACAGGGCCCATAATGGTCCTCATTCTCATTCTGATATTGGGGCCATGCCTTCTTAACCGTTTAACCCAGTTCGTGAAAGATAGGTTCTCTGTCATACATGCAATGGTTTTAACACAACAGTATCAACAACTTAAACAGATGGATCCAGAGTTAACTAAAGCACTTGAATGAAGGATTCCATTCAGTCACAAGAGAAATGGGGGAATGAAAGACCCCCTCCCGACATAGCCCAACAGGAGCTGTCTGAGTTCACGCTAAGGTCGAGGGCCCCTGGCCCCCTACCGACATAGCCCACCAGGAACTGTCTGAGTTCACGCTAAGGTCGAGGGCCCCTGGCGCCTCGAGGGCTTGACAAACAGGATATTAGTGGTCGGCCATCCAGAACTGGGGAGTTAACACTGGGGAGTTTCCCATCCACAATGCGCCCGAGATGAAAGCTAAGTCAACCTCCTGCGACTTCCTTGTATTCAAGCCAGGTGGCCCCAGTCTAAATCTCTCGCCCCATTAAATTTGACCAACAAAAATCCTGTGACCATGCATCCGCTTTTGTACCCACGCTTTTCGCTATATAAGGCACCCCCGTTCCCCATCTGGGCGCGCTTGGTTCCCGAGACCAAGACGCCCGGGTACCCGTATGTGTGATCAATAAAACCTCTTGCTGATTGCATCCATACGTGTGGCCTCGCTGGTCCTTGGGGGGGTCTCTCAGATTGAAAGTATCCCTAGTACGGGGGTCTTTCAGGATTCGACACTTGGAGGGGTCATTGTATCTGATGGGTGTGATGCCCTTGACACTCAGGCTGCTGTTAGCCCCCACTGTCTGCAAGTGACCGTGGGGGTGACTCACCTGAGTTTTGGTCCCCAGCAGCAACGGTGTACCCGTATGCCTTAGCTGCTCTGGGGTTGGTGAGCGTGGCACTGTAGCGCCGGGTCCTTGTGGCTAATGTGCACAGTGTTCAATGGGGAAAGAACAATACACTTGTGGCTCACAGAAGCCACTGCCAAATGGAGGTGGCAAAGGTGTGTGTCCTCAACAGGACGCCGTGGATGTGGAGCTAGCCCTAGAGCTGGACCCCAGTGCTGGCAGGCACTTCGGGAGCCCTGAGGTGCTTGAGGGACATTTAGGCAGGAATTTGGCTTCTTCCTGGGTGTGTTGTGTTTTTTTTTAAAGATTTTATTGTATTTATATTATGATTATGATACTCTGCATGTATACCTGCAGGCCAGAAGAAAGCATCGGATCCTATTATAGGTGGTTGTGAGCCATCATGTGATTGCTGGGAATTGAACTCAGGACCTTTGGAAAAGCAGCCAGTGCTCTTAACCTCTGAGCCGTCTCTCCAGCCCTGGGTGTGGTGCGTTGGTGTGTCCCCTCACAGACCCAACTTGACCAGGAGGTTATAATAGATCATACAGCTTGTGTTTTATTTAATTTTGGAAAAAAAACCCTCAAGAAACCTGTAACAACTGTTTGAACACACACCCACACACGCACTCATGCACACACTCACCTACGGATGCACACATGCACATCTTCCCCTCTGATATCCCTTGGAACTTAGTCCTTCTGGACTCTCTGGTGGTGGGCAGAGAGGCCACTGTCTGCCCAGTGGAGAATGGAACCCCTTCATCCAGCCCAGGCCCCAGCGACAGCTTCTCCATTCCAGAGGTTTCAGACTCTCACAACGGAAACTCTTACTCTACAGCACCCATTTATGCTGTAGTTTATGCTGTAGTCCCTTCTATGTGGCTCGGCCAGCTTGGGCCTTCCTCACTCAGTGAAGGTCAAGTGAGCTCTGTTTGCCCTCCACTCTGACCTCTTAGCAGGCATCTAGACACTCATAAAATCATGCTAGGGCTGGGCGTTGGTGGCGCACACCTTTAATCCCAGCACTTGGGAGGAGACAGAGGCAGGCAGATCTCTGTGAGTTCGAGGCCAGCCAGGTCTACAAAACTACACAGAGAAATCTTGTCTCAAACAAACAACAACCAAAACAAAGCAAAACAAAAACCCATTACAGGACAGCCTCCAAAACAATACAGAGAAACCCTGTCTTGAAAAACAAAACAAACAAACAAAAAGCTCACCACAAAACAAACAAGCATGCTAGGTGCCTCAAAATCCAAATTGAGGTTTTAGATGCCACCTTCCTTGACCTCTCCAAGACACCTTCTTTCTTCCTTATCTCTTCTTGCCAGGTCCCCGAATCTCTTCAATCCCACATGATCCAGTGGCTCAGGCCTGATTAAGCTCAAGGACACTGAGACACACTGGCCTCACCAGCACCGGGGTTGTCAGTGTGCAGGGGTTGTCGTCAGTGTGCAGGGGCTCTACAGAACACAGGGCTACTTTTGCTCTGCCTTCCTGCACTTGGATCCAGTTAATCCTGGATCGCCTACCTAAAGCGGTCAATACCTCTGCCCCCAGCCCTGCCGGATGCATATAATGCCATGTGTATTCTTCCCTGAGCTCTCCCGAAAGTCATATCTAACCAGGTACCCTGTATACTGCCGTCCCTTTTCCTCTTTGCTTAGACTCCACAAGGGGGCGCCTGAGACCAATGTCCGAAGCTTCCTTCCTGGCCGGGGAAAAGTCTGCAGGGTGGATGACCCCCAATTGCACTTGGAGGTGGGGGCGTTGCTTAGAAAAAGCAAGGGGTGGGGCTGGACTGAGGCTCCTCCCATTCCCTGCGCTGCCTCCAGGCGTTGCGCTGCCTTCCCACAGAGTTGGGAGGGGGGAGGAGCTGCCCAGAGACCTGGGAGCGGGTGTGTGGCTCACCAGCCCCTCTGGAAGTAGGAAGAGCCTGGGTGCACTGACTGTTCCAGACTGTATTCAGGTTGGGTGGTTTGACTTGTGCAAGCAACAGTCTGTGCCAGAAAGCCATCTCTGAGCAAGTGTCCCTCAGTCTGGTGGGTTAGGACTCCTGGCAGCTGTTAACTGGGCTGAAGTCCTCCATGTCCCTCGGGCTCCTGGGGCCATCTGCCGGTGTCACAGACTCCTTCAGTTTCTTCCTCCCTTGAGATGGCTTCTTGGGGGCTGTGGGAAATACGAAGTTAGAAGAGGCATGGCAGCAGCCCGTGGTTTTGTATGTCCCTCCCCGCCCCTAGATGTTTCTCTGGCTTTCAACTTCTAGGCTCAGGAAAGCTCAGCTCTGTGAAGTCAGTTGGCCACTCGTGTTCCTAAGAAGATGTTGAATGGCTGGAGCTCGGGAGGAGAGCCACAAGAGTGTGGTAAAAAGGCCATTCCTCTCACAGAACCTAACCCCCTAGTCTCTCCCACTGCACTGCCACAGAGTGGCTGGGGCTGTGAATACAAGGGAGGGGCATCTAGTTCTGGCCAGGCCACACCCTCCAGGACCTTCTGAGATGCCGGGTCTACCCAGAAGACCTGTGGCTTTGGGCCAACTAACTCATCAAGCCTCAGTTTCCCCACCTGCCAGGCAGTGTCAATTCTATATGCCGGGGAGGAGTTGTAGACCCAAGGCAGAGACAACTGCATACCCCTCCCACTCTGCGTGGCTCCAGATAATGCTGGGACAAGTGACACCCTGCTAGGTGTAAAACGGGACCCTGATGCTCACAAGACACGTGCCTGTTGTCACTGACCACCACGCAGTGTCCCGGAATAGAGGAGTGCCACTCACAGAGAGCCTGGTGGCAGCCGTCCCTTGCCCAGTTCTACCTGGGAGGATAAGGTGTGTGTGTGTGTGTGTGTGTGTGTGTGCGCTCGCGTGTGTGTGACTTGCTCGGTGTGAAAGGTGGAAGGTGACACACTGGGAACCCAGTGGGCCACACCCCCACTCCATGTGCACACAGCAGGAAGTGCTTGGAAATGACACAGGCACCCTGGCCTCCACTCGGAGCAAACACAGGCTGCGGTCAGTCCCTTTCCGGTAACAATGGCTTATTGTGGTGGCCCCAGCCTAGCCTGCTGAGCTGTAGCCTGGGCAAACATAGACCACGTGCATATTAGCTTAGGTGTTCAAAGGCTCACCATTGTGCACTGGAGCAGGAAGTGTCCTGATTCTCAGGCCTGGGACCAGGCAGAGATGCCTGCTATCTTATCGGGGTGGGGGGGAAGCTGAGCTCAAAGGCACCGCCCTGGGCAAACACGTGAGCAACCCTAACCCCGAAAGGAAGACAGGGCTGGCAGATGTGGCTGCCAAAAGGTGTGCAGAGGGTCCAAGGATGCTGCTTACGGGTGGATAGGAACGAACGACCCCAGTCCTGGTCTTTTTTTTTTTCTTTCTTTCTTCCCTTTTTGAGACAGGGGCTCATAATAGCATGGGCTGGCCTTGAACATGCTATGTCGCTGAAGATGACAATGCCATTTACATCGTTCCTTGTGGTTGACTGTGGTGGTGCATGCTTTTAATCCTGGCACTTGGGAGGCAGAGGCAGGACAATCTCTGTGAGTTTGAGTCCTCTCTGGTCTACAGAGTAAGTTCCCCACCAGTTAGGGCTACTTAATGAAACCCTGTCTCAAAAGAAAAACAAACAAACAAACAAATATTCTTCCCTATGGAAGATGTCACTTTTTTTTTAAGTATTGGGCATAGAAACCATGGCTTTATGTGTGCTAGGCAAGCCTTCTGCCAGCTGAGATACACCCCTATCCCTGATCATCTCCACTTTTTTGGTTTTCGAGACAGGGTCTCTCTATTGTTTTGGACCCTGTCCTGGAACTCGCTCGGTAGACCAGGCTGGTCTCGAACTCACAGATATCCACCTGCCTCTGCCTCCCCAGTGCTGGGATTAAGATAATCTCCACTTTTGTCCCACTCAAGTTTTATGAAGCTCTGGTGTACCAGTCCTTTTGAGAGAAGGAAGCTGAGGCCCAGGACTACTGTCATTTGGTCAGGTTTCACAGAGGCCTTTGCTGAGGAGGCTCGGGGCTTTAGCTGGTCCCCCTATGCTATGTACCAAGTGTCTAGGAGAGGCACCCAGCACATACCTTGGCCCTGTTTGCCCTTGCAGGAGATGGGTACCTTTATCCTGAAGGTCTGAGGTCCGCCTCCTCTTCTGCTGTGGGCCTTCTTGTTGGTTCTCAGCATGCCCCTGGCCTGGCTCTGCACTTGCCTCAGAGGTCAAGCCCCCCTGGGCAGAAGGAGACACATTCAGGACAATGAACACCCCCTCTCCTGCCTGGGCATCTTCCAGGGCCACCTTGAATGAGTGGCTGGGGACCCACCTTGGTGTCTGACTCTTCCAGCTGCTCCAGCTCTGACCTCTGTGCCCTGAGCTTGCTGGGCTCTGAAAGACACAAATGGGGTCAGCCAGCCTGGTGGCCTTGGGCATGCAGTCCCAGGACAAGGAGAATAACTCTTCAGACGAGGACGCGGAGGGGCCGGTAACCTGTCCCAGGGATCTTGCTGGAGATCTGAACGCAGGCCCACCTGCTAGGTACCCTCTGCTTGGCTCCTACAACCCTGTGGGTTGGTGCCCTCCCTTCCTCAAAACGGATAGAGCATTGTCTTCTGAGCCTTGGAGCCTCCGTCCACAGAGGGAGAGACCCAGCTGGAGGCCAGCAGGTTGCCACTCTCCTCCCTCCCCTCTGCACACCCTTCCCCTCTACACACCCCTTCTCACTGTACATCTCTTCCTGCTGGGCTGGTGCTCTGAGTGCTCACTTTACCTGTGGCCCCATCAGTGTCGGGTCTCTGCAGGTGGGGTGCCGGCCTGGGCCTTCCTCCAGCCTCCTCTGCTGTCCTTCCGGGAGAGGCCAGGCTGGCATGGATCCCTGGGATATCCTGGCAGAGGCAAATTAATGGTTTAATGGAGTCTCTCTGTGTGTGTGTGTGCACGTGCGTGAGCATCTTCAGGCTGTAGTAGGTGTGCAGTCCTTTCCCAGTGTGAGCAGGGTAGCCAGGCTGCTCTTTGGCACCAAGCTGATGGGGCAGAGAGAGAAAGGCAGCCCAAGGAGTTTGTGAACGCCATCCTGCAGGACAGGGCCACAGAGGACAGGGCTGGTACACTTACCTTGGGAGGAGAGTGTTCTTCAGGCTCTTGAGCTCTGGTCCTCGCGCTGCCGTTGCTGGGAGTATGGGGGCTGTGAGTCTTGGGTCTGGACAAGGCGGGCAGCTGGGGGCTGTGGGTGTGGCCAACTGTGGTGTTGCGTGGCAAAGGCTGGCCAGTGAATCCGGGGATGTCCCGACACCGTCCCCGGTCAGAGAGGTCCAGAGGCTTGTCGGGGGGACAGTCCTGAGTGGTCACCTGTGTCTCCTTCCTTGGGGGGCTACACTGGCCTGTGAGCTGAGGACTCCACCCATCAGGCTGGGCCTCTGTGCTCAGAGCTGTCCCGGGGGCCTCACTCTCAGAACCTGAGCCAGCTGGTGGGGAAGATGACGCGTCTTCTTGTGTGGATGGGACCCTCAGCCTGGCGCTGCCTGCCCGCGCCCGTGCCCGCAGCTGCTGCTGGACCAGCAGCAGATGCAATGCTCCTTCCAGTCGTGGGTCCTGAATGCCCACCAAGGCACCAGGCTCCTCCCATGCCTCTGCCTCTCTAGTCTTTGGGCCCCGGGGCAGGGGGTTATTGGCAGCTATGGCAGGAGCCAGGGGGCTGCTGCGGGGGCTTTGCAGGTGCAGAGACAGGTGGTGGTTCAGGAGGCAGAGGCGGTCGGTCTGAAGGGAGCGCTTCAGGGTCTCGTAGGCTACGGCTGACGGCCGGCAGGCCCGCAGGAGGCTAGGGGGAGGAGGAGAATGATGATGCTGGCCCTTGGCCAGCAGTGACTGGTTAAGTGAGCTCCCAGAGGGAGGACAATAGGCACGTCACTTCATGGATGGTCAAGCAAGCCACCTGAGGTCACATGGCCGTGGGAGAGGGCAGGTTCTCAGGCCCTGGTTCTTGCAGGCCACTATGTATAGCAGGTGGCAAGATTTGGCTAAAGAGGACCCAGTGTCCAGGCTCTGGGTCTCCTCCTGTGTGTTAGTTAGCTTTAACTGTCAACTTGACACAGGCCAATGTCACTGGAGAAGGCAGTCTCCATTGAGAGACTGCCCAGATCTGACTGGCTGACGTGTGAGAGATTGTTTTGATTATTAACTGACATAGGAGAGCTCAGTCCGGGGTGGGTGGCACCATCCCCTGGGCAATTGCTCCTAGGCTGTATAAGAAGGCTAGCTGAATGGAAGTAAGCATGAGAGCCAGCCAGCAAGCATCCTCCTCCTTGGTTTCTCCTGTACTTCCTTGGCGCGAGTCCTCCGACAGAGGCGCATGCTCAGAGAATGGCAAGCAGGCCTGTCTTCAAGTTCCTGCTTGAGTTTCTGCCCTGGCTTCCTTCAGTGATGAACTTTGGCCTGTGAGCTGAAGTAACCCTCTCCTCCCTTAAGTTGCTTTTTGGTCAGAGTTTTTGCTCATCACAGCGACAGAAACTGAACCTGAATATCTCGTGCGTGTGTGTGTGTGTGTGTGTGTGTGTGTGTGTGTGTAGTACCAGCTACCTAGATCGATCCTCCTATCTGTCTCCTACAGCCCCACTGGAACTGTTAGGCAATGAGACTTGGGCATTCCATAGGTCTTCTGAATGGCCCAGCCAAAGTGTATACCGGTGTCCTGCCTCCACTGTGGCCTGGCCACTCAGGAGAAATGCGAATCAACCTGGATGTCCGGGAAAGTCAATTCAGGGAAAGGTGGGTTACCCAGAGGGGTGCTGAGCCGCACTTCCCAGACTGCACCAGCAGAGAGCTGCTCTCAGTGGTGGACAGGGCCTCACCTGTCCACAGGGAGGCCATGCTCATATGTTGGACTGGGTGGGCTGCTTCTGGTGGATGGCAGCAGCGGCGGGGGTGTTCCATTGTCCGGTGGGCAGGCCCGGGAGCCAGGCCGCAGCACGGCTACCGTCGAGTGCAGCTGGTTGGAGATGCACTGAGGGCTCTGTACAGGGTGGGCAGGTCAGCCTGGCGGGCATCTCCCCTGGGGGCTTGCCTTCCCCCACCTCCCATGAAGCTCAGCATCCCTGTGTGGCCCCGGGCAGGACAATCACTACCAGCCCGCTGGCCTGGATGGCACCGTGTGTTGGGGGTGCAGGGGTCAGGACCCCCGTGTCCTCACCATGTCCAGGGTCCTTGACTCAGACAGGTTGGCAGCTGGGGAGACTCTGGCGACTGGAGATGCCTTGTGGCTTGGTGCCTTATCTGTGCGAGGAAGAATGACGGGGAGCTAGGGAGATACCGTGGGATCCCAGGTGCCCAATCTCCCGGCTTCCCCACTATCCCCCCCGTAGACCTGTACCTGGCTGTTCTTCCTCAGCCTCCTCCGGGCCTCCTGGGGGGTTCTCGGTGGTGGTGGTGGCACCTTTCCGGTTACCAGGTGAGGGGAGCGGCCTGGGTGACGAGGTCTCTGAAGTGCCCTCCCAGGCCTGAGGCGCAGCCTTGTCTCTGGAGAGGGCACAAGGCTGATTGATGATGAGGGTACAGAAGCTAGAGCTCCCGAGACAGCCAGGCCCCTCTGTGGAGGCAGGGTTCTAGGCGGACACCGGCCTGCTGAGCAAGCGAGCAAGCGAGGGAGCCAGTGAGCGAGCATCTGGGCCTGTGCGCGCCCCACTCACCCCAGGCTCCGAAGCCTCTTGACTTCTTCCCTCAGGGTCTCGTTTTCCTCCCTCAGTCCGTTCATCTCATTGGCTGCAAAGAGCGGCAGTCATTAGCGAGGCCGCAGGGCAGGGTGGAGGCAAGGGGCCACAGTACCAGGGAGGTTCTCCCTGTCTTGCTCCAAGCCCCGCACATTTAGCAGGAGGGAAGGTAATCATATCATCGGGTGTAGGAGCTGACTGCGGGACGGTGGTGTAGACCTCTGCCTGAGGTTTGAAGGGTGAAGTCGAGCCCTCAGCTTGACCCGAGAGCTCCCCAGGAAGGGTCAGGAGAGTGGGGGATGCCCTGGCCCCGGAGCTGATGTGAGAAGAGACGCAGGGTCACGGGGGTGGGTAGGGGGGCTCATCCCGTGTGTCCCTGCGGCTCTGTGTGGGCTGGCCCCGCCCTGGGGTCCCTGGCCTGGCCTGTGGGCGTGGCTCACTGAGGATACAGAGGCGCTGCAGGCTCTGCAGGTGTGCACTTTCCAGTTCCAGCTGTTTCTTTCTGGCCAGCTCCTGGGTGACCGTGCAGCGGTCGCACAAGCCAGCCCGCAGCCTGGGGTGGGGGACGGGAGAAGTCGCACTGGGGCGAACGTTCGGTCCCTTCTGCCCGGTTGCCAGGCCGTGTCCAGCCTTTCCCGATTGTGTCCCGTGGCTGCGCCTCCTCCCTCCTCCATCCCAGGCCTGTCTCCTGTTGAGGGCTTGGCAATCCCACATGCAATTAAGTTCGGGAAGGAGGTTCCCTTACGGCTCTGCAAAGCCCCGCGCGCGGAGCCGTCAGTCTGGCTTGGTCTTTGCTGAGAGCCCCCAGATCCCAGATGGGCTCTGCGAGGGGCCCCCTCACCTGTTCTCCAGCACCCGCAGGTTCTCCTTCAGTGCCTTCTGCTGCTCCCGGAGCTGGTGGTTTTTGGCAAAGAGTTCCTCTACTCTCTGCGCGTCCCTGTGTGGCAAACAGCTGAGGTGGGCCGCTGGTCTTGGTGCCTGCGGTAGCCAGGGTGTTTGGGAAGGGTCCTCCCTGCGGGGGGGGGGGCTGTCCTGGAGTGCGGCTTTTCAATGGGGGCTCGGTTCCACAATCCCAGATAGAGATGTCTTCTCCTCCCCCCACGTTTACCTCAGCTATGGAAAATTGCACCCTGGTACAGGCCATTGTTTCTCAACCTGGTGGGGTCATGACTCCTTGTGGGAGGGGCGTCAAATAACCCTCTTACAAGGGTCACCTAAGACCATCGGAAAACACAGATCCACAATAGTATCTAAATTTACAGTAAGGAAGTAGCAATGAAAATAACTTTATGGTTGGGGGCGGGGGTCAGCACAACGTGGTTAGTCAGAGACGGGGCATAGGAAGGTGAGCTACAGGCCAAGAGCAGCAGCCGAGGCAGCTGTGTGTTTGGGCCTCACAAGAAGGACTGTCATGGGTGCTTTGGTCTCCCTGGGTCTTCAAATGGAGGTGCCAGGCCAGACCCCTTGGGGCCGACACCCCAATGGTCCAGTTCTGGCCCTACCACATAGGCAGTGTGTCACCTTGGCCGAGAGACTCACTGCCCACTCACTCCCTGCCATCCCGGGACCCTGGGGGCAGCGTGGGTGGCCATAGCCTGTGGGGACAGCTGCCCTCCCGTCTGTGCCGCTGGCTTGGCAGGGCCGACTCACCGGTACCGCTCTGAGTTCAGCACCAGGAGCTTGTTCTGCAGGCCTGGCAGAGAGAACAGAGAGGGTGCAGGTCGGGTCCAGCCCAGCTGCCTCTTCACAGAGCTGGTAGGGCTGAGGCCTGAAGTGGAAACTCCTGCCCGGGTTGTCACATGGGATCTCCTCTTCACACCCCTGCCGGGGGTGGGGAGGACACCCCATCTGTACCTGATGCCCAGATGGTGCTGGTTTCCTGAACTGAGGCCTGGGACCCTAGTCCTGGAAGAGGCTGGCCACCTGGTAGGAGCAGAGCATCCAGGCGTGGCTACTTTTTTGGTTGGGGGTGGGGTGGAGGGAGTAGTCCTAGTGTTAAGGAAGGGAAGCTAGATAGATCCCCTAGAGTCTGGACCCGCCAATGTCTACTCAGGGCTTAGAATGGGGTGGGAAGACCTGGCGCCTGTATTCCTCTTCTGCTTAGGTTCTTCTACTCAGTCTTCGAATCTGCGCAATGAATCTGCACAATCTCGGGGCGGGGTCTCAGCAGCTGCAACTTCTTTGCCTCCCCCCCCCCCCGGGGGGGTTCAGCAACCTCTGCCCCACCCCGAGTTCCTGTGTACCCAACCGATTCCCTTAGGTAGGTGAGGGTTGTCTGCCAGCCCAAACCAATTGGCAAAAAGAAAAAAAAAGTCTACTCCTCTTTAGGGAGTGGCCTGGTCTTCTCCTGGTCAGTCCCCTGACTCCTCACCTCTCAAGATGAAACTCTATCAACCCTAGCTTGTGTCTCTATGCACACTTGGCCAGGTATTGGTTTCTGTTGCTTCTGGGATGTTTCCCGTAACACTATACGTGCGACCAACAGGCTTTCAGAGCAAGTTCCCACTGACACACCCCTTTGGCCTGGGTGGATCTGGGGGTTCCCAGAAGGACAGACTGGCTTCTTCCTGAGGCCTGTGGGGAAAGTGTCTGGCTTCCTTGACCTTCAGATGGCCCTTTCTGGAAGGCCTCCAAGTACTGAGTTGGAATTGCACCGCAGTGGGTGGAAGGCACCCTGAGCAGTGGGGAACTTAGCAGAGGCTGGGGAGCAGGGAGGAGGAGGTGTCTGCTCAGGAGCCTCTGGAGTGTGGAGTGGCTGAGGAGCCCTTTGTGGTAGAGCTACCGGCCCTCTGAGAGGACACTGCAGGGACACGCTGGGGGGGGGGCACAGCTTGTGGTCACCAGGTGTTGATGGTGATCCCTGAATATTTCCTCTCCTGGTCCACACCACGGGGTGTGGTCTGAAGACATTCTGCATGAGGAAGTGCTCCCAGCCAAGTCTGGGCCAACGCTGGGCATCTGAATGCTTTGCAATTTGTGTCCCCGGGTTCTCCGACAGACTTGCTGAGTGCCAGAGGCGATCCTTGGAAGCTCCCCAACCTGCCCAGACCCTCAAGACCATGAGCACAGTGCAGCCTCCTACTGACCACTCACCCAGGACCTCCCTCTCGTGGGCGTCCTTCAGTCTGTTCAGCGACTCCATGAAGCTGTCCATGGCTCCGTGTGTGCTGGCCGCTCTGCGCTAGTACGAGGAGGGTTTGGGAACTTTACAGTCCTTCTGGATCCAGCCTGGAGAGAGGGGAGAGGGTTGATTTAAGTAGGGGCTGTGGGCTGAAAAGTAGGTGAGCTTCCCTCGTGTAGGGTAAATCTGCTCCCTTGTGAGGGGCTGCCCAGGGGAAGGGGCAGAGAGTAGATGATGGCTAAAGGGTGAAGCGGTTAATAGAATCAGCGTGGGGTCAGCGTACTGGGTAGACCGACTTCTGGAGGCTGGGCTAGGAGTGGGGAGAAGGATCCTGTGTCACACAGTGACTGTGATGGCCGCAGGAACTCGTTGAGCAGGGACATCTACGGTAAGGGGCCAGAAACCAGGAAGAAGGTGGGCTCGCAAACTGTTCACACACCCGCTTGAGCTCCGAGTCCTCCACAGCTGGATACCATAGTAGAAGTGACAGCTGGTGGCTCTGTGTTTGGTAGGTGAGGGGTATGGGAATGAAGAACAGGGAGGTTGTCGGGCCAGTGGCGGTGCACACCTTTAATCCCAGCACTCGGGAGGTAGAGGCAGGCGGATCTCTGTGAGTTTGAGACAAGCCTGGTCTGCAAGAGTTAGTTCCAGGACGGGCTCCAAAGCTACAGGGAAATCCTGTCTGGAACACCCCCCCCTAAAAAAAAAAAGAACCGGGAGGTCCTTCAACTAGGGGCTGGGAACTGAGGCTGATCTCAAGGAGGGATGTCCTTGCGGGTGCCAGAGGCTGAGGGTCCCGATCCTAGGTCACATGACTCTAGCTGCCTTTTTTTTTCCTCCTGGAGTTCAATACAGGTATCGCTTTTATCATCAGAGCCATCTAATCCTCAAGACAGCTCCAGGAGCTTCTCTCCCAGCGGGAGAGAAAAAGGTCTTGCCCCCACCTTTTTCACGGGATGGGGGATTGGGTGGGGAGTAGATTTGAACTCAGACCTTGCTTATTCACCCAGTGTGAGCTTGGGATGTTTCCCAGAGAGCCCTGTGTTCAGCCGTGTAGGCCTTACCTTGCTAAAGGCCAGGAGGTGGGACCAGTTGGCTGGGACAAGCAGGGCTAGGAAGGCACCTGTAATTCCACCCAGACTCGCTCAGCAGGTGGCTCTCCCCAGGCCCCTAGCACCTGCTTTATGGGCTGGACCAACACCTGTAGAAGAACTGGCCAAGGAATCCTGAGGTGCCTGTAGGCTTGGGCGAGGCCTGTATGGGCTCTGGGTCCACACGCTGTTTTCTTTCTGCATTGTAGCCTATCACATACACAACACACCACTTGGCTGTTACTCTCAAGGTCCCCAAAGGGCAGTCCTGAATTCTCTGCTGTCACACTGGCTTAGTTCCTTCAGATCTCCATGGTGCATCCTGCCCAGGGACCCAGGGCCATGACAAGACCAAGCAAAGTCATCTTGATCCTAGGTAGCATGGCTATAGGGATGACGTGATGCCCCTGGCGGGCAGGTGGCAGAGACACATCCGACTGAGATAAAGTGAAAGTCAGTTTGCTGGGCTCCTGCCATGCCTAGGGTGTCCCTGTGTCCATCCCTGTGTCCAGCATCTGCCATCTGGAGTCTGGGGGTCTGGGCAGGGAAAGGAAATGGTATGGTGGGTGGTAGTATTACCTGGGTGCTTTCTTCAAGCCTTGGCATTTTGGTGCAGAAATGGGTGACCGTGGGTAGAATGAACTTCTGAAATGGCTTTTAAAAAATTACACAGACCTATGCCCAGAAGCCTTGTGAAACAGGTCAGCGGAGTGACTGTCTCCAGTAGGGCTGCCCTGTGAGTCTAGGCTTGCTGAAGTTGGCCAGCGGCTTGGGAAGGCAGGGAGCTCTGTAGGTGGGAGCAGGTCCTTTGTAGAGGCCAAGGCTGTGTTTTGCATCCAGCTGTAGGGTAGGGAGCTATGGAAATGAGAGAACCCTGGGGGAGTAGTAGGCTTGGTGCAGTCTTCAACCCAGAAGGGTGGAACCCCAGAGTGTGTGCTTGGGGGCTGTAAAGGCAGAGTGGTGGTGGGGGTAGGGAACCCTCACTTTTGATATCCAGGCTGGAAGGAGCTGGCCAGAGGGACAAGGATGCGGAGCAGCCTCTGCTCCATCTTTTGTTGCTGCCTGGGCAGCTGGGGAGGCAGGTAAAAAGTTGGGAGCAGCCTCCACCTACACAGACGTTACACACCTTCGGGCCTGCTCTGCCTCTGTGAAGACGCAGGGACAGTGGTGGGGGTTCGCTCGGAATCAGAGCTGGCGAGAGGCAGGGGAGGCTGGATGTGAGCTATGGCCTCCGCGTGGACAGGCTGAGTGTTACTCAAGCTAACTCTCGTGCGGCTGGCCAGAACCAAGCAGATCCATGCAATCCCTCCTCCCCTGTCAGAGCCCGGGAAAGCACCCTACGGTGAGGAGGCCCCAGGAACAGCAGAGGCCTTCTGTCAGGTGCTCTCACCAGGAGGCACCCTGTAAACTCTGCCTGCCTCCCAGGAAGCCACACTTGAATCTCAGGCCCCGCCCTGCACCCGTTCCCCAGTCCCTCGCTTGCTCCAAGGATCTACACCTGCCCCATGGAACCTCTACTGGCACCTTCGGGTCCCCATTTACATCCTAGGGCACCTGTACGCTCCGTGGGGGCCTCCACCACCTCAAGGAGCCCTACCAGAACCTTAGACCCCTCCACCTGCTCTATGGGGCCCAGGTAGTTCTGTAGAACCCCACCCGCTTCTCAGGGTTCCCGCCTGCTCTTCAGGCTCACCCGTCTCCTCGGAGCTCTACCTGAATGTTCAGACCCTTCACCTACCCCTCACAATTCCCCGGAGTGGCCTCTGAGAGGAGGCAGGGGTTCTTCCCTGTCAATCACAGCAGGCCAGCAGGCTGGTGTCCCAGAGGACAGCCACTAGCCCAGCCCGGAGTACTAGCCTGGGCTTTAGATATGGTTCTTGTCCTTCCTATGGATAGCCTTGGGTAAGTTGCTTTACCACCCCTCCCCCCACCCAGCCCCTGTTTCCTCATCTGGGGGTCATGACGGTCATGACCTGTATTGGGTTTCTGTGAGACTCCAGCCGGTATCACATGCTCCAGGCAAAAGGCAGGTAGCATGTAATTCTGTGTGTGGCAGCGGGAACCCGGAACCTCTTATCTCTCTCATGTACAGCCCCCAGAGGGCTGACAGCGCCCTCCCTCCCTCTTTGTGACAGGCCCGAGTCTCACAAACAAAAAGACCCTTTCCGTAGGAGGGCAAATCCCTCCCCGTGTTCAGAGCAGAGGCCTGTCATCAACGGTGACCACAAAGTGCTCACTAGTCCACGGTTTTGGAGGCCATTACCAGGGGAAGTTCCATCCATTCCCTAGAGGTGAGGGCTCATGGTCCCGGCTGTAACTCCCAAAAAGACCAGGTGCCATCTGCCCCAGTGGCAATGCCCGAGTGTCGGGTTGGCGGCCATACCCGGATAGTTGTTCTCTGGGGTGACTGGACCTCCTGTCACTGGTGGGTGATGGCAGCTGGCTTCCTTTCCTTCCTGGAGTGCTAAATCAAGGGTGCTAAAATGAGGCTGTCCGTAATGCCCGGCCCCCTTTCTTCTAGCCGGCCCTCATTCTGTTTCTTTAAGGATGGAGGGTTGGACCAGGCGGTGGTGGGGCACGCCTTTAATCCCAGCATTTGGGAGGCAGAGGCAGGTGGATCTCTGTGAGTTTGAGGCCGGGCTGGTCCGACAGCCTCCAAAACAATACAGGGAAACCCTGTCTCATAAAAACCAAACCAAACCAAACCAAACAAAACAAACAAACAAAAAAAGGATGGAGGGTTGGTCCACCCATCTGATGTCCGCCTGTCCACAGGAAGCAGCCACAGGCCGCGGTGGTGGTAATGACAAGCGGATGCTTCTGTACACACCAACCTCTGCACCTTGTGCCTCAAGAGGGATTCTCTGGCTCAGGGATGTTAACATCTTCCCGGCACTCTGCTGAGGAAGCCAAGCTATTGCCTGGCCTGCCGTCTAGGGGCCAGGAACACCACCAGAATGCGACTGCAGCCCATTTGGCCTTGGAGGAAGCCCTGGGTATCCCATGCTGTGCAATCAGCCTCCAAGACAGGGAGCAGACAAGAGGCAGGGAGGCAGAGGCTGGATTTGAACCAGAGCCCCTAGCTGCGTCCACCGCCTCCCATTCTCTGCGTGGGAGACTGCAGTGATGAGCAAAGCATCTCCCATAGCGGCTTTAGCCGAGCTGCTTGTCTGGCTGTGCCTTGGTTCCTCTAGTCATACATTTGGTGGTGGTGGCCGGGGAGACAGGAGGAGTCTGGTTATATGAAACGGGAGAGCCCATGCCTGATGCAGGGGGCCAGGCCGGGAACGGGGTGCTTCTAAACCGTGTGCTCTCACATGGTCTTCGTAGCCACCCGTGGCAGCTCTTGTTTTTATAGAGATCTGAGATGTTATCTACCTACAATCATCAGCTCGTGAGAGATACGGCCTAGACACAAACAGGCCTCCTGGCAACCTCTTGGGTCAGTCAGTGTGGGTGAGCTCTTTGCAGAGAGGTTTCCTTACTTGGGGAGGGGGGGTGACTTCTGATATCTTTCTGACACCCATAGACTGGTAGCCACCACAGCCAGGCAGAGCAACACCTTCAGTTGGGGAAATCCGCATCTGTGTATACACGCCGAAAGCAAACACCTCTGCACAACTTCAGCCCATCCCCTGCCGCACACCCAACCCTTAGATGGAGCTAGGCATGGCTGTGTACACACAGGCACACATACAGACACACACACACACACACACACACACACACACACACACAGGCAGGTGGACACAGACATTTGCATGTCTCATGCTTGTGTGCAACGCCGCCTGCCTGGGCACAAGTAAAAGAATAAGGCAGATTTGCGGCTCAGGTAACAGAGGGCCGTGCATGCAACCTGACTCCAGTCTCCCAGGCCTGGGGGCAGGAGACGGAGGGAGTAGGCTAGTGATTGATCCTACTATTCTCCCACTGCCTGCTGCAGTACTGCAGCTACTGATCCCGATCTCAGGGCCTGGCAAGGTCCCCATGCCAAGCTCGGAGTTATGGTGGCTGGACCTGGCCTTGCGCTCCCCTCATTTCCATGGCTGCACAGACAGACTTTCAGGCCCACGGGGAGTAGGCAGTGAAAGGTCTAGGACACCAGCCTATTCCCAGGTGCTGGAGCCCCCTGCAGAGGTTGGGGCGGCCATGCCAGGCTTTGCTTTTGCTGCCCCTAAAGCTCTGCCCAGGAAACCCTCGAGCCCTCCTCCTTGCTTGGTCCCCAGGACCAGGCATCAGGTAGTCCTCCATACCTCCCACAGGTGAAGGCAGGTCAGCCTGCCTGTCCCTGCCTCCCGCCTGCCTCCCGCCTCCCAGGCCTTCTGCTTCCTGTCTCCTGCCTCCCTGGGCCTCCTGCTCTGAAGCCTGAGCTGGGTCTCCAGCCCCCAGGGTGAGCACCCCAACAACTCCAGTCCACCCAGCTCCTTCCTGGAAGGTCCCTGCTTGCTGTAACCGTGTACTCACATGGCCCCTTGGCCAGCCTTGGACCTCCAGGGGCCTCGGTCCTGAGCGATCCCCTTCTGGGAGAGATAGGAGCAAGCAGTATGAACTTGCAAGACAGAATTTTGACCAAACCCGCCTGACAGGTTTCCAATTCTCCCAGCCGGGAGCTGCAAGGAGGCAGGGACTGCCCGAAGCCGCCCGACTGGTCTGGCCATCTCAGAGAGTGGAAGAACCGGCCGGCCGGCCGTGTGCATAGAGCTGGGTTGTTTCCCCATAATCCAAGCTGCCTGGGTTGCCTTAGCTTGACCATCCAAAGAAGCATCTTGTGGGGCCCTGGACAGGAGTACCGGCTAGCACAGGGAAACAGCCAGGGTGTGCGGGCATTTATGAAGACAGGGGAGATGCTGTGGCCTTGACACTCAGAGGTTGGATTTTAGAGGGTTATCATGCTGTTCGCCTGCCCAAAGTCAGCCCAAGACAAGCTGAATGTGAAGTTTTGTGGTCCAATCTTAGTTTCCTGGTCTATGGACAGGATGACCGTAGGTAGGTGCAGTTCCCTTAGTTCCCTTGTCCTGACTTCTTTCTTTCTTTCTTTCTTTCTTTCTTTCTTTCTTTCTTTCTTTCTCTCTCTCTCTCTCTCTCTCTCTCTCTCTCTCTCTCTCTCTCTCTCTCTCTCTCTCTCTCTCCTCTTTTTTAAAAATTTAAATTAGAAACAATCCCAGTTTTTACATATCAATCCCAGTTCCCTCTCCCTCCCATCCTCCCATGCCCCCCACCGACCCCCCTCATCCCATCCCCTTTCTGCTCCCCAGGGGTGGTGAGGTCTTCCCTAGGGGATCATCAAAGCTAACTTGGTTTCTTGGTCTGTGGCTTGTGGATAAAAAAAAATCCAGGACCTGTGCACAGAGTGACCTCACTGAGCTGGGGACTGTCCAGTGCCCACTATGCCCTTGCTGAGACAGACTGCTGGCTTCTGCTTGTGGTAGAGGTGGGCAGGGGCTGAGCCTCAGGTCTGTGGATGTCCCACATGGGTGGGCATCTCTGGGTTTCAGGTTGGATGCCCCAGTCAGGTGGAATCCTGGGGCAGGGGGCTGGCTTGGAATGAGGTAGCTTGGCTCAGGGGTGCTAGAAGGACCAGGCACTGATGTCATGCTATTTTCTTTCTGGGCAATGGCATCATGCAGAAAAACAGTGTCCTCTGAGGTCATGGATGCCCATGTTACTATCCCCTTCTCTCTTACTCACCCATCACCATCCCCTACTTCAGCTTGTCTGACTCTGCCCAGAAACAAGGGGGCTGCCCTGTTCATGGGGCCACAGGAGGTAGGTAGTGGGGCTCCATCAGAGAAACCATGTTGACTAGGAGAGGAGGAAGAACCAGGTCTTGAAGAATAGGAGACTCCCTGCTGCTGGCAGCTGGCCCTGGGCATCTCTAACCCCAGGATGACCTTGCCTAGGCTCCAGGAAGGGGAAAGTTCTAGGCCACAGAGCACTAGACACCTTCTCCTGTCTACCTCCTGGCTGGGCATTTGTGAGACAATGTCTGCCTGCTCAGTATGTGTGTATCTGTTTGTATGTCCACCACAGGAGGGAGTGGGCATGGTCTGTGTGAGATTGTCATATCAACCCCGAGGCTGAGGTTCTGGGGGACTTGGGCGGCAGTCATGAGCGTCACCAGTGCTCTTGTTGGGAGATCAGAGAGCTCCAGCCTCCTCCACCGGATGAGACAGAGAGAAGGTTGCCCAGCCCCAGCCTAAGGCATCTCGTGCAGCAGGCTACGGCTAAGCCAGATCTGGCGCACAAGTGTTGGCACCTGAAGGTGGCCGGTTGTAGTCCCCCAGCTTGTGCATGTTCAACACGTATGTGTGCTATGTACGTGGGCTTGCTCTTGTGTGTGGGGCAGGGTCTACATACAGGTTAGAGGCTGTATGTGGATGTCTTGAGGCTTTGTGTGCATGTCTAGAGGACTGTTTATACATTCTTGGCGGCTGTGTCTGCTTGCCTGGAGATTGTGTGCACATGTCTGGAGGCTGCATGTGCATGCCTTGGGTCTGTGTGTATGCATGCCTTGGGACTGTGTGTGCATGCTTTGAGACTGTGTATGTGCATGCCTGGGGATGTGTGTGCATGCCTGGAGTTTGTGTGTACATGTCTGGGGTTGCGTGTACACATCTGGTGGGTTCTCTGTGGGTAGGAAGAGTCACATCCGTCATACCAGAAATGTAGGTTCATGTCTGGACCAAGGTGGAGTTTGGACACTGCAATTCTGTCCAGCTTCTCTGTCCCCAGCTCCTGCCCCAGCCAGGCCACAGTGTCTCTGGGCCAGGGACCTGTCTACATAGTATCTTTCCTAGGCAGCTCAGAAGGAGCCCTGAGGGTCCTCCGCAGTGGGACCCTTCCTGCTTGGGTCTGGATGGATGGACTGGGAAGTGACACTAACAGAA